CCCCAAAACCCCAAAACCCCAAAACCCCAAAACCCCAAAACCCCTTAATTTAAAATCAGCTTGAAAAAGTAGTAAATATTTATTAAATATACTTTGTTTCATTAGGGGACTCTCTACAGACACGATGCTAACAAGACTCAACAAAAGAAACCATGTCAGTATTTATCGTATGAACTCCAACGTGTCCAGCCGGTCCCGGATCAGTAGCAAGGTGATCTCGACGAGATCCAGAAGAGCTTCAAACAAAGTACTGAGGAGGAAGACCAAGAAAGCTATGAATCATACAATCAGAGGCCAATCTAAAGGAATCATGTTCATAGAGGATCTTGGAAAGCACATTATTACAGAGATTCAGGGTTCTTCTCTTGCTTCTAATCTTGTTTCTCCTAATCGGAAAGTGTTTAATGAAGAACTGGACAAATCAATGGAAATTGTGGGGACTATCACAAATGAAGAAAAGACGCCTAAAACAGTAAAATTTGAACAAAATATTGTCCCTTCGAGCAGCCAGAGCACTCAAGGAAGCATTAGGTCCTTCAGAAACAACTATTTTTCCTTAAAGAGAAGCAAGCAAATGTATAAAACTACAGTTGCCCATCAACAGAACAGAAAGAGTCGAAATATTCTTGGGGCAGCCGGGAATAGTACCTACAAAACATTACAAGGGCATGTTTCCTCCTCTCAGAATCAACAAATTAGCTCTGAAAGATCAGGGTTTGACCTTTCCAGACCAGGCTCAGTGACCTCTCTTTTCACTGCCTGCTCTGTGGGAAATAATATGCATTCGCGGAACCAAAACTCCTTATTTGGGCAGCACAGCTCATACAACTCAGGCTCTCTCAGGTCAGAGGAAGAGAACGAGAGAGAAATAGTCCAAGTAATTGAGGAAAATCAAACACTCGGCTTGGCCAATCAAAGAAATCAACAGAGAAATTGTCGAGGCAGAATCCAACCTAAAAAGAAGATTTTCAGAGACATGTACCTGATCACTGAAATTGAAAGTGACCTTGAGATGTCGAAGGAGTCACTAAATGAGAAATCAACAGATTCTACTTCTTTGATTGCCGCTCCATACCAGTCATTAAGGAAGAACTTACCTAAAAATTCAGAGGTCCACTGAGAAACTCTGAGACTCCAGTCTAATTTGAGCACTTTCCAGAGAGAAGTTACCACTAGAAGCAGGAACAAACAGATTTTGGAAACTACTCAAGACTTTAAATGCTTCTACGATAGAGACGTGGTCTCATATAAGGATAAAAGACCAAGAGAGATGCCTTATAATCTCACTAAGGGTGATGATGATGAAGACTCAGACTCAGAGGATGTAGACAATGGCAAAAGATACCTCAAACTACACTTAGAGAAGACCCTTACAGAAGAGCTTAAGCCTAGAAGAAGATTTTGTTTCTACTAAAGACTTCGTATTACCTGCTGTTCCTTAGATTAAGAAGCTAGTAATCCTGATCAGTACAATAACTCACCTACTGGGTCTGTATCCCAAAATCTGGCAGATAATGCCCAGTATTTATTAGTCTTCAACCTGGCTTCTTCCAAAAGGGGTTTTGGGGTTTTGGGGTTTTGGGGTTTTGGGG